CACATGGCTGACACTGACAAAGGTTCTGCAATCTGAGGTACAGGATCTCAGGATAAATCCTGAGAGGATTTCACTGACCTTATCAGACCCAAAAGCTACTACTCTTTTTGTATAGGTCGTGCTTTACCTTGGTCTTAATCATCCAGCAGAAAAGTATAAAGATGAAATATAAGAAGTAAAGCCATGCTGTTATGCTGAGCTGTCAGGGACTCAGGTCAACAATTTCTGACATTGCCAGTGAAGCGGAAGACCCAATACTATTATGGGCTACTGGACTCTTATAATATGTAGAGTGTGCCTAAGGAGAGTCACATGGGGAGAAAACATTCAGGCTTTCGCAGAGAGCACATTGGCCATATTATATTATATTCATATAATATAATATTCAAATAATGGAACTTAACAAAAAATGTTATACAGATGTATGTCCATTTTTTATCTGTGTATTCAAATTGGTTAGGATAGATATATAGTTACATTCTCTTAATGAATAGAGAGATTTGTTCTAATGGTGTTTGTAAATAGGATATCATGTCCGCATCTTGTACAGCAATTAACCACTAGGAAGAATGTATGCAATGTGTTAATTTTTGAAACTGTCCTACCAATTTAATTTGAAATTGTCTCATTGCTACTTATCAATAAAATTATGCAAAAAATTAAAAAAAAAGGTCATTGCAGATTTCTATGAAATAGTTAAAAAAATATATCAGACCATTCTATTTTCCAGGCAGTTAGCATGTAATATTAACAAAAGAACATATTTTTTCAAAAGAAAATTTAACCGTGAGGGTAGACATTATAGTCAAGAAATAGAATAGAATATTTCTATTCTAATAGAATAGAAATAAAAAATATCTTCAGTTACTCTAAGAAACAACTAAATTCCTAAAGAAATGGAACATCTAGGATGACATTAACAAGGAAATAAATCTGTGTGTGTGTGTATACATGTACAAAGTAGTAGTTTGATTGTGATTTGTTCTGAGAGTATATGACAGGTTATAGAAAAAATTATAGGCAGAAAATATTTTCACTATGCACTTTTCCATTCATTTCTATTTTTAACTTGGTATGTCAACTTCCAAGAGCTATGAAGGCATTGATGAGGGCCACAGGCTGCCCCCCAGAGGTGCCTTAGAGAAGGTCTTCCACTGTTGCCTTTTTGTTTCTTTCTTGTTTTAGTTTTATTGAGAAAGAAGTAGCAATGAGATAGTTTCAAAACATGTTAGTAGTACAGTTACAATAATTAATACATTGTATATTGTTGTGTTTGTGGTAGTTATTCCTAGTACAAGATACAGACATGATATCTTGTCTAAACACTATTAGTTCAAAACCTTCTTCTCATTGAACTAAGAGAAAGTAGCTGTATATTTATGCCATTTTGTCTATGCAGATATACATATTTTCCACTATAAAATGGTCCATTTATATCCCATTTTTTCTTTACTTTTGTCAGAGATGTGTATTCCTTTGCCATTCATATATTGTAGGTGCATTCAGCAGAGAAATTCAATATAGTCCTGCAGTCTGTAATAGTAGTAGGTTATCCACAAGCCTGGCAGTGTCAGAAGATGTTGACTTGAGCCTTTTACAGCTCAGCATATTAATATAGCTCTACTTTTTATACTTCATTTTTATACTTTTCTTCTGGATGCTTAAGACCAAGATAAAGCAAGACCTATATAACAAGAAATGTAACTTTTGTATCTGACAAGGTCAGTCAAATCCCCTCAGGATTTAGCCTCAAACCCTGTACCGCAGTTTGTCGATCCTTTGTCAGTGTCAGCCATGTGGATGAGTCACAGCCATTGCTTGACCAATTTGCTCTCTGTGAAAGCCTGAGAGAATGTTTTCTCTCCATGTGACTCTCCTTAGGCACACTTGATCACTTTCCTCTGTGGCCCTATAATCTCCTTGAACAGAAAATCTGGGACACAACTGAGTTACAGGACGTTACAGTACAGGTTCTCTTATGTCCTGAGTCCTCACCAACCCTGAAAGGCTGGGGCCAAAATGTTAGATTTCTAAATTTCTGTGTAAAAATATGTAATTTTTTTATGCCTTTTTGTTTCAAGGGGAAGCAAAAGTCTGTGGTGTTGCTTTGCTGAAGAGTTAGATTCGGAGCAGTGTGAGGGCCGCTTTTCTTAGCATGGAGTGTCTTTTCTTAGCGTTTCCCCTAAATCCTCTCTTAAAGCACATGAGTAGACACTTTATTTTTACTTTGGTCATTTTTGCTGAACTTGAGCTGCAATCAAGTTTTACCATGTTCCAAATCACATGGGACCTTATGGCACAACAATTCAATTAAAAAAAAAAAAAAAAGCATTCTCATGACATAGCTCTTACCTAGAGTTGAGGAATAAGTTTGTCTCATGTCACCTCGTACTCTTCTGAAACTTCTTGCATTCATTTGTGAACTTTTCAAGCATGTCATCTTTTGATGTCTGGGTAATTGTATTCCACTATCATGTGTCTCTAGTTCTTTCTGGACATAGACTTCTGTACATGGGCAATGAGAAGCCACTAAAGATCCACCAGTGGAATAGTAATTGGTAGTACTGAATTCTGTTTTGGGCATAGCTGAGACTTTTGAAGCTTGAAAAAGACCTAGAGATTTTAACTAGAAAACCATATTGAATATAATTTTTTTTTCAAATGAAAAATGATAAGGTTAAGGCCCTTTTCCAAGAAACGTACCATGACTGCTTTTCCAATCAGTGAAAAATGTTCTGTTTGGTTGCCTCTGAAGTATAATGACTACCATTTTTCTGTTGTCAGGAGAGAGCTGGGAGTAGTAGCCCAGAATTTTTTCTGTGCTGGCTGTGGAACCCCCATAGAACCCAGTAAGTATACAACATGATTGCTGGCTTATTGTGTGGTGACAGAGCAAAAAGTAATGGAGCTTGGCAGCGCCTCTGTGCAGTTTCTGTGTGAGACACCCTGGGTAGGAAGTTGTTTTAAGAGCTGCCTTCCTTCTAAGCAGAGGCTGTCATGACCTATAAGACTGCGGGCCCACCCAGGAACCTGGAGGACCAGTACCCTGGCTGTGTCCCCTTTGCGCACTTGGCTCCAGCCCCATGGCCTCTGTCTTGGAATCGCTACTTTCTCCTGACTCGGAGATTTGTATATGTGGTTCTGCCCCCCTGGAGCCCCATCCTGCAGACTCACCCATGGCTGGTTCTTTAGCCTGTCTCATGCAAACATCACGAGGTCTCCCTGGCTACCTAATGTGAAAGGCCCACCTTGCTAGACTCCTGGCCACAAATAATCTCGTGTATTTTTATACTCCTCTTCCTCATTTTTTAAATTCTTCCCAGAATACTCTTTTATGCTGACTTATTTTATTATGTTTCCATTACTAGATTGCAAGTTCTGTGAAGACAGATATGTTGCTCCTTTTGTTCATTGTTTTATATGCAATTTCTGGAGAACTGCCAGTGCCTATTTTGTCATCAAAAGACATTTCTCTTTTAAAAAAAAATTTTATTTGCATTTATTTTACGCTTAATTTATTACCATGCCATAGGTTTTGTTTTCTTCTGAGATATCTTTTTCTTCTGTGCAACTTCGTCCTCTCCTTTAGGAACAATTTGTTCCTTTTCAGTCAGGATCATCTCAATATGGCATGGGAAGCTCATGTATGGAGTCATCTGGCCATGAACTCTATAAGCACAGTGGCACAGCTTGGGTGCTTTGTTCACCTGGATATGTTCAATAACCAGAGAATCTACATCTAAACCCTTAAGTTCAGCATTACTCTCTGCATTTTTAAGCATGTACAGTAAAAATTCAGCACTCTTTTGGGCCACTGACTCTGCGTCCAGCCCCTGTTTGGCTTGGGCACACCTACCAACTCCACCTTTGTAATGCCAGAATGGCACACACTGCTTCTTTAATGTGACATCCTTCAGATACTTGGTGGCCTTTTGGATATGCATACCCTTGATGGCTTGGGCAGTTTCAGGAGTGTTCTTAAAATTCGAAGATTTGAGCCTCTTTATTTGCATGATTTTGTGGGGTTTTCTGGGTCAAGAGAGTAGAAGACCATTTTCACAGGTCATCTCAGGCCATTCACAGGAACAGCAAAATAATTTCTGACACCAGACATGGTTACACATGCCACATGCCTTAATTCTAGCACTCTGGGAGGCTGAAGCAGATACATAGCAAGCTCAAGGCCTGGACTGTACAGTGAGACTCTGTATAAGGAAGGGAAGAAAGAAGGAAGGAAGGTAGGCAGGAAAGAAAGAAAGGAAGGAAGGAAGGAAGGAAGGAAGGAAGGAAGGAAGGAAGAAAGGAAGGGGCCTGGGGATATAGCTCAGTGGCATAAGCAGCTGCCTGGCAAATGCAAGGTCCTGAGTTTGATCCCTGGTACTGCCAAAAATAAATAAAAATAAAAATAAATTTTAAAAAAGGAAGGAAGGAAGGAAAGAGATACTTGTAGATTGAATAGTTTGTCAAGTAGCTGGCCAGAATTCACTCAGAGTTTGAAGAGGTGGCCTAGGGAATTATATCTGGGCTGAACCCTAATGCATCAGGCCCATGCAGGTGTCTCCCTGGAGACTTGGAATTCTCCGTCTCTTGTGAGGGACTATACTTCAAGAGAAACGAAATTTTCCTGGGCTTCTTCTACTACCCCAGATGACAGGTGTCACAGTTATAACTAGCCTTCTTTAACCAACTCATCTTCTCAGTGGTGTGACCAGGGCCATGTCTGCTGGTTAGTCACTGTATCAGTGTCTCATAAATATTGAATGTCCGAGTCAGGAACTGCAGTCACATGGCCATGAGTCCATCAACTTTTTCAGTACTTTCCGAAGTTTGTCCAGGCCTGGAGCTATGTGCCCACCCTGCTGGCGCAGTGGTGATCTTGTAAACGTGGTGCTGCCTAATTTGGGACATTGCTTTTTGCTTTTTAGGGAAATCATAATCATCAGCCAAGACAGGGAAGAGCAGGGTTATGTACATAACAAAAGAGAAAGGCAAAGGGCCTTGGCCTTCACAGCCAGGGAACTTAATCTGGGGTTTTTTCAGCAGGAAGGACTGGGAAGGAGGGACTTTATATAGAGTGTTTCTCTCCCAGGGTCATGTGGGGATTTCATCATGTTCCTGGTGCCTGTGGCAGATGAAAAGACGAACGAGAGGGCAAAACATGCTCCAAAAGTAGGCAGAGCAGACTGGAGATGACAGTATAAAGTATATACATAATTTTGGACTTCTGCAAAATTTCTCTAGCTCTAAGGACAGTTTTTTTTTTAATCTTTATATTTTAAGATCATTTTTTAGACTTAGGGATGAGTTGCAAAGATAGTATGGAAAGGTTCTTACAGCTTTCCCTAATAATGAACATCTAATATAACTTTTGTATAATTATCATCTGAGAAATTAGCATTGGTTACAGTTCCAATAACTAAACTACAGACTTTATCAGATTTCACTAGGCTTTTCGTAATGTCCTCCTAATTCTGTTTCAGAATCCAGTCTAGAAGACCACCTTGAATTTAGTGGTCATGTTTCTTTGAGCTCTTCTAATCTCACACACTCAACATGACATTTTACCATTTATCACTTCAACATATCCTAAAAATAAGGATTATAAACAGTTACCAAACCAACACATCCTGACAGTTCCCTAATATTGTCTGCTACTAGTCCAGTTTCATTTGCTATTCTCAAGCTGTGATGTATGGTTAATTTTTCTATTCACATTCAAGTTGAATTTCATACGGCACAGTTAGGTATTGGTTCTCTTTAATTAGTTTATTCTAGACCTGCTGTATCCAGTATGGTAGCTGCTAGTCATATGGCTACATACAATTGAATTTAAATTAATTAGAATGCAAAATTGAATTGTTATGCTAGCTGCATTTTAAGCTCTCAATTATCACATGTAACTGTGGCTACTTTTGGACAGCACAGATGGAAGATCTATCCATGCTTGCAAAAGGTCTATAAGCTTTGTTGTAGAATATTTCCTCCTTGATTTTTCCGTGCCATTGGTCTCATCAGATAAGAACAGTTGTTTCAGAGCAAGATTTCTCAGTTTGAGTACTGTTGACTCTGCTGCAAATTCAAAAGTGTGAAGAACTAAAGTAACTTTGCCCATGCTCCAGAAATAATTTACTATTGGCTTTTTGGTGGAACTCTAGACTGGATGTATATAGTTTTTGTTTGCTTATTTATTTTTTATATTTTAGGGAAGGGTCTACAGAGTGTTCAGGGTCTGATTATTAGTCTGGACTCATAGTGATTTACCTGTTTATAGCTTCCCAAGAGCTGACATTACAGGCTTACTCCACCACACCCAGTCTCAATTGCTGTCTCAGTGCGCCTCAGGGGCAGAGCCAGCATGGCAGACCTGGGGATCAAACCCCCATCCCCTGCATCTGCTTGGATGTGCTTTAATCCACTGAGCTATTTGACTGCCCCCACCTCCAGTTTTCTTTAAAGCAAAATTGAGACTGCATTATGTCTGTCCACACCTGGATGTGCACTTCCTGTGCTTTTCCTTTCACTTCTTCATTTGATGCTGAAAGTGCTGTACTAACTTTCCCAGTTGCCTTTTGGTGAACACCTTAGTTGGTGCCCTACTCACCCTCACTTACACATGTGCTGTAATCAGTGCCTTTGAACATCGTGTGTGCCTCCTTGCATTTCTGTCTGATATAGCTTTTGCTGCACAGGGAAGGTCAAAGTGTATTGCAAGAATGTCCTTCTACAGGGTCACTCCTTGGGACAAGAGGGGTACCCAGGTCTCTACCTCTCACCTGCTTGAAATGTTCTAAATTTGCGACAGTCCTGGACAGGTCAGAGAATGTCATTGTTTCAATATGCAATGCTTTGACTGTCACAGAAATGGAGTGTTTTTCACCTCTCTGTTGATTATCTGTATTTCTTCTTTCCTTGTGTCACCTGCTTCCATCATTCATTCATATTTTCATTTTCTCTTTCAAGGAACTTTTTCTTTGCTACTTCCTCATGCTGTGCATGTGCTGCCTGAGAAATCACAAGCACTCTCAGTGTGTGATGGCACTGACTCCAGTTCCGAGCTGCAGTTTAAGGTTTCAGGACAGTTGGCTGCAAAGCCCTGGCTGCCCTGTCTTGCTGGTAGCAATTGGAGTCAGCCAGATACCGCTCAGTCAGGTATCCAGACCTATGTGGGATGTCCTTTTGCCACGCTGCAGCTCACCTTGCCCAGCTTCCAACTCTAGGAGCAGTTTGAAGGGGTTGCATTTTGCCAATACCTGTCCACCCTATTATATAGCTCATGCATGGCCACAGTGTTTAGTCTCCAAGTCCCTGCCCAGATTTGTTCCAAGTTATCCTGAGCTAAAGGATGGCTTTTCCACTGTGAAAACAGCCCTCTGAGTCTTTGAACCTTGGAGAGAAATTTTGGTGGGGCACACCCTATTGGGTCTTCACGACTCTTCTGCATGCCCCACAGAGTTTGTGAAGAGGCTGCGGTACTGCGAGTACCTGGGGAAGTATTTCTGTGACTGCTGCCACTCCTATGCGGAGTCCTACATCCCAGCACGGATCCTGATGCTGTGGGACTTCAGGAAGTACTATGTGAGCAACTTCTCCAAACAGCTGCTCGACCACATCTGGCACCAGCCCATTTTCAATTTGCTGAGCCTCAGTCACAGCCTCTCCACAAAAGCCAAGGAACTGGACAGGGTGAAGGTGAGGTGAAGGCTTCAGTGGGGTGGTGAGTTTGGCTGGAAATTAGAGTTCTTCTGGCTCCAGGGCTTTCCTATACAAACCTTCGGAGAGGCTGATGGCTGATGTGAGTGGAGCGGACCTTCAGGGTTCCTACCCTGCATGGGCTCTCTCTGGGGCCTCATTCTGAATATATATCAATATTTTATTTTATTATTATTTTTTTTCTGTATTTTAAGGAAGGGTCTACAGGGTGTTCAGGGTCTCACTACTAGGTTGGACTTGTAGTGATTCTCCTGTTTACAGCTTCCCAAGTGCTGGGATTACAGGCGTGGGCCACTACACTCAGTCTCAATCACTGTCTCAGTGTGCCCCAGGGGCAGGCTGGCATGATATTTTAAATATATTTTACACGTGCACACTTTGTGTGTTTTTCATGAAGAGGACCCCCAGCGTGGTGTGGATGTTTCAGGCTCCACAAAACGTCATTCTATCTAGACCCTTCTGGATTCCTGGAATCAGATATGAACCCCCTGCTGTGAGGGTTTTGCTTAAAAGCATGTCTTGGGGGTGGTATTCAAAAGGAGATTTAAATATGTGGAGCTGCTCAATGCCAGAGTCCTGGATCACATTTAACTCGCTCTTCCTTCCCCCATTTGGTTTCTCATGGTAGGACATCCAGGAGCAGCTTTTTCATGTCAAGAAGCTGTTGAAGACTTGCAGGTTCGCTGACAGGTATGATTCTCAGCTGGGGCAGTCTGTGCTCTCTCCTCCTGTCCTCTTCTCCAGCTTACTTCTGGCCCTGCCTCTTGCTTGTGCCAGTCTTCTTAGCACAGTAGCTCCCTGTGGTGCTCACGATGGTAGCCACCTCTTCACGTTGTTAAGTCTGCTACATCACTAGTGGAGGATTTAACTTAAGAAAATGGGGAAAAAATGGGCCATTTATTTTACAATTTTTATTTTTTGTAAAATAAAATTACAGAAAAATTTTGCAAATTTATTTTACAAAATAAATTCTTACAATTTATTTTATAAGAATAAAAAGAAAATAAATTGGGCTAAATCCATATAAAGTAAAATTCACTATATTAACCATTTTAAATATACAAGTCATCTGTGTATCACCGTAGCTTTGTAACATAACCTGAAAGTTAGGGTAGTTATGCCTCTTGCTTTGCTCTTGTTGCCCTGGGTGATTTTTGTGATTCAGTGGCTCTCCTGTTTCCATATGAGTTGTGAAGTTTTTCTCTAGTTTTATGAGAAAAACTTACACCCTTAGTCCTCTGATTGGGATTGCACTGCGTCTGTATATTAGTTTTGGAAGTACAGCTGTTTTGGCAATATTGATTCTGCCTACCGAGGAATAGGGGACATCTTCCTATTTTCTGAAGTCTGCGTTGGTCTCTCCCTTTCAGAGTCCTGTAATGTAGTTTTCATTGTAGACATTTTTCACTTCCTTATGTTAATTTCTAAGTATTTAATTTTTCTTGAAGCTATTGTGGATGGTATTGCTTTTCTAATTTCTTTTTCTGTGATTTAATTATAGATGAACAGAAATGCTATTGATTTTGTATGTAGATTTCGTATCCTGTTATCTTGCTGAATTTGTGTATTAATTTTTGGTGGGCTTCTTATTTAAAAACTACAAGTTAGCTAAATCCCTACCCATATCAGTAATGGGGTCTTAAGATGCATCTTTACAAGCATGTTCTGGAGCCATAGTCTCACCCAGGTGGACCTGCCTCCAGCCCCCTGTAAGAGGATTTTAACAGGTCACAGTTTCCCTAGGCTCATAACATTACTTGCAAGAACAACACTGGTGGCCATTAGGGAAATGAAAATGAAAACAACACTGAGATTCCATTTTACTGCTGAAAGAATGGCTATTACCAAGAAATCAGTTAATAAGACATGCTGACAAAGCTGTGGTCAAGAAAAGCACACTCTATGTTGTTGGTGAGAGTGTAAACTGGTACAATCACTATGGAGATTCCTCAAAAACCTAAAATAAGAAATTTCATTGAACCTAGCTTTTCCCCTTCTAGGCGTCCTCCTGAAAGAGTTAGAATCCATATTATATCCATGCATGACCATGTTTATAGCAGCACAACCCATAATAGCTAAATCTTGGAGTTGGTGCTTATGCCCATCAACACATGAAGAGATAGAGAAAATGTATTTATACATGATGGAGTACTACTCTGCTAGAAGGAAAGATAAATTTGAGAAATTCGTAGGAACATGGATGCACACTGAGACCATACAAATCAATGAAATAAATTAGATGCCCAAGCTTAAATGTCACATGGTTTATCTCATGAGAAAACCAAAGAACAAGTGAATTAAAAAGCAAAATAAAAGAGAGGTAATAGGAAACAGGGAAAGAGAGATTTTGCAAATGAGAAGGGGATCTGGAGATGGTGGGAGAGGAGAGCGAGAAGGAGAAGGTGATGCAAAAAGAATTAAAATATGGTTGTGTGTCAGCTCCCCACGATGAATATAATCATGTACTGCAAAATGTGCTAGGAGGAATTTTTAAAATATAAAAAATAATACTAGAAGTCTACCAAGTGTTCAGTAAAGGTGATAATTAATGCCACATGTGTAATATAGAGTGGTGGACAGTCAGCAAAGTTTTAGGCATGAGTTAATTGGGAGATTTTTAAGTGAAAAAGAATAAGTTATTCAAGGGGGTTAAGATTATTTTTATAATAGATGAGGTCACATGGTTTATTTTTTTCATTGAAAGCTCTTTTTTACAGTTTCTAATCTTTATTTCATGATGAATCATTGCTTTTAAATGAAATGTTTTGGGGGAAAAGTATATATTATAGTTATTGGGCCTTGAGTCCCCACTTTTTGCTGTGACCATGGGAGCATAATACTCTTTGGGGTCTTGGTTTTCTCATCAATGATGTGTAACAAAACCACACATTTTTCCTTGTGCAAAAATTTCTTGAATGGCCACTCTGTGCTTCAGATTTTTTTAAAAAATCAGTAAATCTCTGTTAAGCACAGAGGGAAAGTCAAATATATTCTTGTTGGACTGCGTGTTGCACACGCATGCATGTGCATGTGCGCGCGTATGCGCATGCATACACACACACACACGCACGCACACACACACAAACACTGTGCTCTGCAGATATAGTGGAGATAACCTTTCAGTTCAGTTAAGGATATGACTTCCTGGGAGAAAGCTTAATCCTCAAGGGTAAGTCAGAGCCAGGAAGAGGTATCATAGAACCTGGGGTAAACGCAGGCTGAGCAGATGTCCCAGGTAGGGGCAGAATTAAAGCCAGTGTGGCATTAACTGTGCCATGTCCACTGTAGACCATGGCTGCCTGGGAATGGATGAGCGACACTGCCAGTAACTGACCCAGAGAACTCTGGAGACGGGGTGGGTTTGAAGATTTAAGTTTTGGATGCTGCTGGGATACAGGAGTGACCTAGACTGCCAGGCCTTGGAGGCGTGATCCTTGAGCTCCGTTCTGGAGTCGTGGATTAGGAGTCACTAACTTCTTGTGCACCGTAATTCCCCGCCCAGCCGAGGCAAAGTCATCCATGCGGACAGGCTTGAAGCTTGGCTAGAAGGAAGAGTGTGGTCATTTTTGAATACTTGGTGATCAAATGTATTTGGTGATACATTTTTCAGACTTGGAAACCAAATGTTTTATTTTCTTTTGCTCAGTGCAGGGCAGAGAGTCTTTGCTGATTCATTCCTTGGTATCAGCTTTTATGGATAGTTAACGTCTTTCTGGCTTCCAGGAAAACTTGAAAAGTATACAGTAGTGATCAAAGTTCACTGTTGTTGTCAGGGCTATTGTTTTTAGTTGCATTTTGAAAATTGTGCATGAGTGCCAAGATCAAGCCCCCGGCCTGCCTGTCCCTGGTCTGTGTGCTCTGCGGGCGGCCTTCTGAGTGCCTCTGCATCTTCTCTGGCAGCACATTAAAGGAGTTTGAGCAAGTGCCCACACACCTGACTGACGAGCTCCACCTCTTCTCCCTGGAGGACCTCGTCAGGACCAAGAAAGGGCTGCTGGCGCCCTTGCTCAGGGATGTTCTGAAAACTTCCTTGGCCCATGTGGCCAGCTGTGAGGTAAGAGTTGGCGGGAGCAGGTGGGACCCTGAGCTATTCTTCACCCCAGGGCTGGGGCTGTGTGCTCTGTGCTTTACTCTGCTCCATGCTCACTTGCCCTGAGGTCATGCTGTGGATTAACAAGCCAGGATCACCTCCCTGGCAAGTGACGGAGCTGCGACACAAGTTGGGGGCCAACAGCTTCTTCTTCAGGGTCCTGAGCCCTGTTTGGAGCTCACTGTCCTGAGTTAGCCACATAGACCTTGATCTAATGAAACAAAGAGCTTTGTGTCTACATGAACTGAAGAGTTTAGTGCAGCAATCAGAAATGGAGCTCCATCAGTGAGAACACAGGTTGAGAGCCAGGTGTGGTGGCATACCTGTAGTCGCACCTACCTGGTGGCCAAGGGAAGAAGACCCCTTGAATCCAGGAGTTCAAGGCCAGAAGCCCACACATTGGACACACCTGGTTTTCCTGGGCTCCACTGAATGAAGAGAAATGATCTTAGGCTCCATGTATATAAAAATCTCCCTTTAAAATGTTTTTAACTAAAACACAGGCATGTCCAACCCACAGAGCTTGGTTGGACATATTTCTAAAAGGCTTATCTTAGTCCCTGTCCTCATTGCTGGACAAGATATCCAACAAGCATAACTTGAAGGAGGTGAGGTTTTGGCTTTCATTTTGAGGCCACGGTCAGTGGTGCCAAGGCAGAAGATGTCCTGGAAGGGTCTGCCGGAGCTGTTCACATCATAGTAGCCAAGAAAGGGAGAGAATGCTGTGTTGTGGAGGGGGTGTACTTTTCTAAGGCACACCCCAGTGCCCATCTGCAGCCAGGCCCTGCATCCTCCTGGCCAGTTGGCTCTGTTGCTCCCAAAATTTAGTCACCATCCAGAGCCCACCTCTGACCACATGAGCCATCTGGGGCACCTTCCAGATCTGAACCATAGGAAGGCTGAAATTACAGATCTTCAAAAATTGATGCCTATGAAGTTCTGTGACAGTGGTAAGTAACTTAGCTTCTCTGTCAAGAAAAGCACTACCACTTTATAACTGTTTTATGCCTTTCTTATGGTAGGGGACACTTACAGAATAGCAGGCTCCTAGGGACATTAGAACAAAAGTCAGAACTCAATTCATAGCCTGTGATTATGCTCATGCTCCCCATCACATAACCAGCCTTGACTTTCTAGGCCCAGATGTTCCTCCTAAGAATGTGTGGGCCAAACTGACTATGTCTGGCTTGTATTTTTTAAAAGACCTAGTGTTCCAATTTGTTCCACGGGATTCAAAGCTGTAATGTTTGGGGGAAGACTGGCTAGTCAAGGACACCTTCAACTCTATCTGCTCTTCTCAGACCCCCTCCCTCCCAGAATGTTCCTGTAAAAATCTGCCTGTTAACATATGATGTAATTCTTATATTCTATCTAACCAATCATGTAACAACCTGCTATCAGCTTTGTACTTCCCGCTCACAAACCATATTTAAACTGAACCTATCTGGGGATATAGTTCAGTGGCACAGAGCCTGCCTGATAAGTGCAAGATTCTGAGTTTAATTCCCGGTACTAAAATAAAAATAAAATAAAAATAAACAACCTAAACCTGACTCAGGGCTGGTGATTTGAACCTCTGGGTTCCCCAGACTCCTAGTGTAATAAAATTTGCCTTCTAAATCCTAAAGCAATCTTTTATTTGGATTGATATTGATTTTCCTGCCACACTTACAGCTGTGTCAAGGAAAGGGCTTCATTTGTGAATTTTGCCGGAGTAAGACTGTCATCTTCCCGTTTCAGACTGCAACCTGTAGAAGATGTTCAGGTATGTTAATAACTTTATAACATAAGCTTAATAATAGTTTAACATATTGAAAACATTAATTGGTATAATAATAGATCACAACATTAGCTTAAACTGAGTAGCTTAATCATTTAAATATGGTTATTTTCTTTCAGTGAATATTGAACCTAGAATCTTTGCCCTGAGCTATGTCCAGCCCTTTAAAAAAAAAA